TTTTGACTAAAAATACTGAAGATCACCTGATAAACTGCCATTCTTGCCCTTTTTTCCTATGAGCTGATGTTTGTCACCACCCTGATTGAAAAGATGGAGTGCATATTTACATCAGTTGCGTTGTTGTGTATTCAACAGTCGATTGCGAACTGTCTACCATTGAGTTTCCAGCAATGCCATCACCTGTTGCCCCTATCCTAGGAGTTCTCGGTGGATGCATGGGATGTATGGTCTTCGTCGAAAAAATAGCCAAGTAAGAATTATTTGAATATTTTGCATCTCTTTTTTTCTTGCTATTTCTTGTAACCTATGAGTTTTTTTTAAACTTATTTAGGGCTGAGCCAACATCCATGAATCTCATGACATTCTCCACATTTTTGTTTATAGCCACTCAAGGATTGTTCTTTACCTCAAAGTTTTTTTCCGTTCCTAATAAAATTCCTCTCAGGTGAGCTTATGAATATTGATTAATGCTCAAATGAAAAACATTGTTGCGGTGAAAAATCATCGCTCTAATCATCGCTCGATTATTGGTATACGCTGTGTTCAAATTAACATGAACTCTGATTTTTGATTAAGTGAGATTCGACAAATAATCTAATTTTGTTTTTCATTTATAAATGTTTTTTCGAGACGACTATTTACTAGTACATTGGGTTTTGTTCCTTTGAACATACTATATCCTTCATGTGTTATTAAGGTATAAATAATGTATTACTATTTAAGAGGGTATATACCCACTGTTATCACATTCTTCACGGTTAATGTGATCAACAATCAAGCGTTAAATTTTCATGTTCCTGTTCCTTTACACATCATCTTTCGTTCAGTAAGTGTTTTCCTTATAATTTTATTATCAGATATCACTTTTTTAAACTCTGTATAGGGTTCACTCCTTGCTAATCTACTACTGTCTGTGATTCTCCTCAAGAAAAAGTACTCATTAAGAAAGTATCTCTCAGTCTTTGCTATTACCATAGGAATAGTCATATGTACCTTAGCAACAAGCGATCTCGAAAAGGTACGTTCATCAAATGTTTCCTCATTTCCATTATCTGTCCTAGAATGGTCCTGATCCTAATTGTTTAAAAGTTTCGGCTGTTGAGCCGATATTAACACCTCTTTTCAAGACAACCTTCAGTAAAAATCTCCGTGTTTTTCAGCACTCAGGGCTTAACTACGAAGAAGCGGTGAAGCACTATCGGGAATGGATGATTGGTTGGTTTTTACCTATTTTTTAGCTCAAACTCAAAAGTGGAGTTTTCAAACTGTCGGAACTGTCTACACAGCGCGCAAAAATCATTTTCCATGAGAAAGTCTTACTTTCGAATTATGCAAATTGAGGCTCTCTTATTGCATGGCCGAGATAATCAGGCTTTCTGGGCATTTGAGCAGCTGATTCATTTGAAGACGCTGCTGAGTTCGATATCAATATTGGTTTTTAGGAATTGGGATGCTCATTTTTGCTTTACTGGCATCAGCATATTTGGCTATCTGCCAGCAACGTATGTACGAGACTTACGGAAAGCATCCGGAGGAAGCAATGTTTGTAATTGTTAGTTTACTCTACACTTATTATCTTATTCTTATTTCACAA